TAAAAAATGAAATACATTGTGTTAAAGGGCTTTATTCTTTCCTGAAAACAGCCATTTCTGGAGAGTGAAGACAGCCAACCTTTCTCCTTTCGACCAGTAGATCCAGAAGTAGATGGGCCTCCTCCCACAGCCCCTGCAAACCCATGCCTGCAGCTTGGTTACACTGTAACTACTTAGTGGTTACACTGTAACTACTGAGGACTAGGCACGCTGCTGTTCCGAATGAAATCAGACCTCGCCCCTAAATACAGGCCCTGACACACAGCGTGTGCACTGAGTGCTTCTTCCCAATCAGGCATCCACGGAACATGCCCCCGTGCGCCCTGGCGCGTCTGGCCACTGTGCTCTGCCAGGCGGGCACACCTCAACCCTCCTCCCACAGAACCCTGCTCAGGCGTACCCCAAGGGCCTGCATTCTGGGTGCTTTGTGAGGCTCTAACTTTTGGGTAAGGAAGAAGGTAATGTTTTTGCTTAGTAATACCCAGGCATGAGCAAAATTTAAACCAGTTTTATACTGGAGAAAAAAGAGAGACATCATTGAAACAATGGAGAATCAGAAAAACAGACCCAAATACAAATGACATTTTAGTTCATGGTGAAGGCGACACTGAAAAGGAGGAAAAACAGGACTTCACTGACAAACTGGGGGGGGCTCAATTCCTAATGCATCCCCTCAGTTTGGTGCCTCAAAGATTTAAATACAAATTATCAAAAAGACTGAACAGATATCAAGGAGTTAAATATAAACTAAACCATACAATTTCAAAAAGGACGAGTGAAGGTAGAAAAAACTGAGGAAGAATAAAAAACTGATCAATTTGAAGGCACAATTTTTCCTCTACAGAGTAAAAGTTAAACAAAATCCAAAGACCAGTGTCAAATGAAAAAAATATAACATACGTGGCAGCAAAGACCTAATTTCTTAATTTATAAAATGCCTATATAAATCGAGAAAAAAATGATACTCTAATATGAAAATAGGCAAAAGATAAGAACTAGCAGTTTTCAAAGAAAAAACGTTTTAGCCATTAAATACAAATAAATAGTAAAACTTACTGATAATTAGATAAGAGCAAAGCAAGACAAAAATGAAAAACCTATGCAAACACTGAAGACTGATGGTAGCCCACCCTGCTGGAGATGCGGGATGGGGCTCCCGTGGGCTGCTGCAGAAATACAACCTGATGGGTTCTGGGGAGGAAAACCTATCAGTATTCACAGCACCACCCTGGCCCAGTGGCTCAGTTGAGTGTCATCCTGTGCACCAAAAGGTCGTCAGTTTGATTCCGTCAGGGCACATACCTGGGTTGTAGGTTTGATCCCTGGTCAGGGCACGTACAAAAGGCAACCAATCAATGTTTCTCTCTCACATTGATGTCTCTCTCTCTCCGCCCCCCAAACATGTCCTCAAGTAAGGATTAAAAAAATAGTAATAATTTTAAAAATAATAACAGAAATGTTTACTAAATTAATGTTAAATGAGAGGGTTCTGGAAATGTAGTTTGAGGCTGGACTGTTAAAGATCTTGAGATGCCTTGTTTGAGTGTCTGGAGTTCCTCCTAAAGGCACTGGTCAGTCATCAAACAAGGGGTTTGCTTCAGAAAGGGACCTGGGATGGTTTGGGTGATAATTTTTGAAAGAGAAGCCAGTTAAAACATTGACTGTCCAGGTCAGAGGAGACTTACGTCCTAAACTAGGGCAGAGGGACTAGAAAGGGGACTGTTTTGAAGTGCCATCAACAAGAATCAGTAATAACAGCATTCATTAAGTGCCTACTATGGCACAACAGCCAAAAAAATATATATGTTAGTAGACTAATTTTGCTGATAAAAAGACCAAAGAAGTTTCAGAGAGGTTATGTCATTTCCCCCAGAATCACACAGCTAAATAAGTGGCCATTCTGGAATCCCACTGCAGGACTGAGCCCCAGGCCAAGGAGTGAGGGCGGGGCGAGGCCGAGTTCCTAGCCGAGGTGTGCGGACTTCGACGGTGTCCTCTGCTGAGTATGTACAGTGGTTCTGCATGAAACTGACTCTGGCTACCCTGCTGAGTAGGATGCTTCTTGGAAGGCTTCGGGCCTCTCAGAGTCAGTGCCTGGCTGGAGGTCCAGGCTTCATAGAAAAGTCAGGATCCCGGGGAATTTCAGGTGGCCCGGCAACAGGAACAATTACCAAGTGCCAATGCATGCCAGGCACTTCAAAGCACTAGGGATACCAGAACAGACAATATCACCACCTTCCTGCAACTCACACCTTCAGGGTCTGGGGGAGCCAGAGCACAAACACATTACTTAACTGAATCCCCCACTACGTCAGATGGTACAAAATAAAGCGAGGAAGGTGGGTAAATGCCTTGAGGAGAAAGTTGCAGTTTCTAATGGAGTGGCTAGAAAAGCCTGTGTTTCCCAAAATTTCGATAATAGACAAACACTGCTTCTGTAATGAGTTTTAAAAGAAGGTGCTGAGTGGCTGAGCCCCTTTCTGTGGTCAAACAGGGAAAACTGGGGAAGGAGAGTGGGAATGGCGCCCCAGATTCTTCAGCCACTCCTCCATCGCTCTGGCTGCCTTTTTCTGCAGAACAGCCAGCAAGTGACTCACCCCCTTCGAACTGCAACAAAAACACCTTGAGCTGGTGGCGTCAACAGCAAGCACTTATTTCTAGCTGTTCTGGAGCCCGGGAGGCCAGGACCAAGGTGCCGGGAAGGCCAGGGCCAAGGTGCCGGGAAGGCCAGGGCCAAGGTGCCGGGAAGGCCGGGACCAAGGTGCCGGGAAGGCCAAGGCCAAGGCGCCGGGAGGCGAGGACCAGGAGCCGGCAGCAGGGCCTGACCGCGGCGCGCTCCCCCCACACGCGTGGCGGCCTCGGCCACCCAGCCCCGCGACGCACATGCCGTCCATGAAAACCTCCCTCGACGAGGCCCAAATGCCTCCCTCCCTCCCTCCCTCCCTCCTTCCTTTCAACGCCAATCAAAACAAGCCCTTTACAGCCAACGCGGCCTTCCCGGGCTAAGG